TTTTTTTTCTTAACTGTGCATTATAATAGCAGTCTTCAAACGTTTCTGCTCATTGACTCCCTAAAGGAATTTTAGAAATGCATCCCTTCACACATTTTGTACTGACAGCTAAAAATGTTCGTTACAAGTAGACAGTCACAAATGATGCATGTTGTATTTACATTTAAAAATAGAACTGTGCTATCACTCTTTCAAGTGTATCCAATGACATTCAAGTTCCATAATGATTTGATATTCACTGTCAACCATTTAAAAAAATACATAAAAAAGCTCTTTAACATTTGAAAATTTGTTTTTATTTTTGCTAAAGTATACTATTTGAAGAGGTAAAATGACTCTCATGCAAATACATAAGGAACATGTGCCAAAATTTTTTTCAACTTATTAATTAGGAGGGGAGATAATGAGTAAGATATTAATGGTTCGATGAGTATTTCAGGACCTAGATATTTATAAGCAATTTAATAAAGGAATATTTGGGTTATATACAAAACTGGCTAATATCCAAAACAAAAATAAACTATACTCTTTGGGATTATATTTTCCTCCTACAGAAATTACTTGTATCTCAACTGGCAAAAATATTCATGTTAATATTTAATTTCATTAAGTTGGGGGCTTTTAAAAAATAGTAAACAGTGAGTTGAGTGTGCTGTGCCCTTGGCATGAAACCACATGCCAAACTGCTTTGTGCCTTACCTCCAAGTTCTGGCTGTTAGAATTCTTGTGCTAAAACTCAACTGCAACTTACCGTCAGAGGTTAAACTGGACCTTGGAGGCTGGGTTTGAATTCAGGCTTTGCTGCTGTGATCTCAGGCAGATTACTTCACCATCCGGTGCGGTCGCTTTCTCGGCTGAGAGGAGGTGGAGGACATCCTAGGGTGTGATTGTGACCAGTGAGTGATGGGATGGCATGCATTTTTCCATCCTTTTACCTTCAACTTTTTCTGCGTCTTTATATTCAATGTGAAGTCTTAGACCTCAGGAACATAGTTGGATTTGGTTTTTAATCCAATCTGACTTTTTATTGGGTACTTGGTCTGTTTGCATTTAATATACATGAAGTGACAGTCAGGTGTTAACTCTACAATCTATTTATTTACTATTTCTCCCATCTGTTCTGTTTTTTTAAACTCCTTTCATGGCTTTCTTCTTTGGATTAATAAAATTTTTTATTATTCCATTTCCCTGTCTAGTAACTTGGTAGCTATACATACCTTTATTATTTGTTTAGTGATTGCTGTAAGGAGGTGCTGCCCAGTAGGACTTTCTGTGCATAGAAATGGTATTCACCTGCACAGTCTTCACCCCCTCCTGCCCCTTGGTGTCAGTGAGGCTGCAGCAGAGTCAGGGACTCTGCAGCAGAGGTGGAAAACTTTCTTTGTAAAGGGCCAGGCAGTACATAGGCTCTGTGGCCATACGACCTTCATGGCGCCTGCTCCATTCCACCACTGTACCTCCCGAGCAGCCAGAGATGGTACGTCAGCAGATCACTGTGGCTGTGTCCAAAACGACTTTCTTTACCAATGAGGTGACAGGCAGGTCTTAACCTGTGAGCTGGTGTGCTGAGCTCTGTTCTATGGCCTTGTCCCTTCTGGTGGCCTGGCTTCCAGGGCCTGGCCTCAGGGCTGACCCCAGGAGAGCTCTTACCATTTCCAGTCTCACAGTCAGGGGGCGATGTGGGTTCCGCTATCGCTGCCTCTGGTAGTCTTTCGAACCTCTTTGATTTTTTATTCCCATACACGTCTGTATCAGCTCCTTAACTGAGCTGTCTTGAAAGAATGGAATGCCTCTAGTGCTTTTTGCTCCTGCTAACGTCCTAAATGCTTGTATCACTGCCAGTATTTCACTGTATCCTAAGTGGCAATCAGCAGTGTGCAGATGTGTCTCCCTACCCAGATAAAGCCTTCCACAGGGCAGATACTGTGTTTTACTTACATCCATAATCTCACAACACCTATCACCTTGGCATAAAATGGAATGAGGAATCTTTGCTAAACTGAATTAGCACACAGAAATGGATCCCAGAGAGGTCAGGATTTGGGGAAAAGACTTAACGACTTTTTACTTAAAGTGGGCAGGTTGTGAAAAACGAATCTCCAAGAAAGATGGAGTCCATAAAGGAGGAAAGTAAGCTTTTTGAAGTAAAAAGAGGAAACGGTGTCTGGCAAGATGAGCTGTCTGGAGGTGGGGAGACTTTCTAACTGGTCTTCAGGTGTTTTGGGCAGCCCTTGATTGGCTGAAGAGGCCAAACCAGCGGCTTGAGGACATCCCAAAGAGGACATATGTCTGAGTGTTAGGGGTGGCAGGTGTTCTGGCCTCTGCAGGTGCTTTTAGTGGGAGCATCCTGGGAAGTGACAGCGTGGTAAGGGGTGCCTGAGCAGGGCACACGACTTTCCCCTCCCTGCATATTTTAGGAAAACGACCACTTACTGGGGGGGCTGTGGTAGGAGGAAGACCTCGTGAACACAATTGGACCTTTAGCATCTTGGATCTTGGGATATAAAACCTCACTTATACACAAATATAGTTGAGAAATCTGGGCACATGTTTGGCCAGACGAAAAGCTCAAATTGAAAAATGGAACGAATTCAGACCAAATTCCTAAGCTGTAATGACAGACTCAAACACAAACTAACAACAAAAGAGCAAAAGTCCGAACTCAAGTAAGTATCAATCGTTAGACCAATCTTTGAGGCCCTTTATGGGAATACTGAAATCTAGGAAGATGCTTTTTTTAAGTGTGGGAGGACTCTGAGCATGTTTGCACGTAGAAAAGACTGGGCCGGAGGCAGGGATTAAAGGCACAGAATCTGCGTGGCGGGGCTGGGGGACACGGGGGGCACACGGCGGGGTGGCGCGGGGAAGGGACCAGAGGGGCCACAGGGCACAGCGGAGGGGCACGGGGGAAGCCCAGGGCCTCACCGAGGGGGCTCCGCGAAGGAGCACGGCGTGAGGGTGACAAGGACGCGGACACAGCGCAGGGAGCTAAGGAGCGGGCAGAACACGGGGACGTCGCACGGGGTGGCGCACGCGGGCAGCCGGTACTCCCGGAGGGCGGCACCCCCGGCCAGGGCTGAGGACACGCCCCGCCTCTGCCGCCCGGCAAAAGACTGGCAGAGCGGATTCCGGAGGCGTGGCGATGAGTGGGAGGGGACGCCACGCGGACCGCGCCCACGCTGCCATGTTGCGCTGGGTCGCCAGCACAGGTGAGCTGGGCATCAGCCACCTGCTTTCTGCGCGCGGAGCAGGCGCATGCGCAGGTGTATCCCTCCCGGGGCCGGGGCGGGGCCTCCAGCCGCACTGCCTCCGCTCACGCGCGTGACGCCATCTGGCTCCGACGCGCCGGAGGCGGAGGACTCCGAACGCTGCCACCGCCCGTGCAGTCCTTCGGCGCGCGCTGTTGTCGTATGGTGCGGATGACGCGCGGTGACGCCATCGGGCCCCGACACACGGGCGGGAGGGGCGCGCGGGCGGCGCGTCAGCCGCCTGGGAGCCGTGGAGAGAGGGCGGGGAAAGGCGGCGGACTGAGAGGGATCCCTGCGGGGCGGAAAGGTGGCGGCCGGAACATGGCAGACCAGATCCCTCTGTACCCGGTGCGCGGCGCGGCGGCCGGCCGCAAGCGCGCGGCCTACTACAGCGCGGCTGGTCCCGGGCCGGGGGCCGAGTGGCCCAGCAGGTAACGACGGGGCCTCCGCGGTGCGCCCGCCCGCGCCCGCGGGGCCCTGCCGGACGGGGGGCCGTGCCGAGCGGGTCGCTCCGGCAGCCCGGGCCGGCGGGTCTGGATCGCCGGCCGCGCAGGGGGCCCGGAGGGCGCCCCTCCGGGCGTGGCCGGGCTCTGCGCGAACCCCGGCGGGCCCGGCCCCCGACTCCCGAGGGACGCCCGGCGGCCGGCTCGGGCGGCTGCCCTGCCGCATGACGGGCGCGGAGTCTGAGCGCGGCGCGCCGCGGGCCCTCGCACCTTGCGAGGTGACAGTTTTTACTTAGCGTTGAAAGTACACACATTTACGGAGAATCACTTGTTTTCACAAATGTAAAGCTCAAGTGGGGACATGTAGTTTGTGTACTAAGTACACTTTTTACTTAACACGTGTTCACAGAGTACTTTCGGCTGACAAAAATTTTTGCCTTTGGGAATGGGAAGCGGAGACACAGAGAAGTAAAATTGTTGAACGGGCCACACTAGTTCACTGGTAGAATTAAAATGTACAGACCTTTGTTTTAAAATGGAAGTCTCAAACTCTACTTGGTTTTACCTGATATTTAATTTATTTCTCACCCAAAGAGGAGAATATTACATTTTATAAATGGTACCGTAATTAGAAAAAGAAACTTATGAAAAGGATAACTACTGTCATTTGTAGTTAACTGCAAATTTATTCTGGGGGAATTGTAGAAACAATTTTCGATACATAAAAGAAAAAACTACAGATTTCAATATGCAGTTGCTTCAGGATTCGATTTTTAGGATAACTTGGCCATTTGAGATGCTGTAACATACAATCAAAGGAGTCCGTATTACAGTGTTACAGAGCAGAGTTAAATCTGTTTACTTGATTACTGGTTTTATGATCTTAGGTAACTTACTTAAATCATGGCCACTAATTTCCTGGGTTGTGAAATGGAGGATATACTCTTTTTTTTTCTTAAGGCGTTGTTGAGGATGACAGGAGAACCTGGTAAGGTGCCCACGTTTAGTGTTTGCCCAGAAGTACATTCTCCAGAAATATCTTTTCTCCTTTCCTCCCTAATTACCTATGAGAGTAATTACCTATGAGAGTTCTCTGAGTAGTTTATTTCAGAATATTGTTATTTGGAAATATGCAACGTATTTCACAGTAAATTCCCATCAGTTTGCGTGTATCAGTTTCTGCTTCATATATTTTGAGGTTCTGTCATTTGGTATGTTCTCATTTGGCATCCTGTGTCTTCTGAGTGGATTGTTTCTTTTATGGTTGTGTAAAGTCCTTTTTCTCTGGCAGTTTTCTTGGCTTTGAAGTTTATTAGATAATGTAGTCACTCCTGCTTTTTGTGTATTAATGTTTGCATGGTGTTAGCTTTCAGCCTATCTGTTGCTGAGCTTGAAGTGAGTTTCTTATTGAATCATGTTTTTGTTTTACGCGCTCTGTCAGTCTCTGTCTTTCGTGTATCTAGACCATTTACATTTAAGGAAATTATTCATATGTTGGAGTTCAAGTGTCCCACCGAATTATCCCTCTTCTGTTTCTTCTGATTCTCATTCCTCTGTTTCTCTTCCTGCATTCCTTCGGGCTATTTGAACCTTTTTTTAAAAACTCTCTACTGTGTTTTGGGTATAGGGCTTTTGTATAGTTATGGAGTACTTGCTCTGGGTATTACACTATATACATATGACCCATCACCATGGTGTATTGGTATCACTATTTTACTACCTGGAGTGGAGTGTGGAAACCTTACTTCACTTCTGTTTTTGTCCCTTTACCCAACTTCTCCCTCCATTCCACTTTAAATAACATGTCCTGAGCATCGTGGTGTTCCACTTTGTTTAAGTCATCAAATATGATTTATAAACTCATAATGATAAGGATAGTTTGTATGTGCCCATATTTTTGTTTTTTCTGTTATTCTTCCTGATGTTCCAGGAATCTCCCTTTTTTGTCTCCTGTTTGGAGAATTTGATAACCATTCTTTGAAATTTTCATCCTAGAATGTCTTTATTTTTCCTTAATTCCTGAAAAGATAGTTTTATTGTATATAGAACTCCTGGTTGACAGTTTTTTTTCTTAGCACTTGAAAACTCTTGTTCCACTTCCTTCCACCCTTCATAGTTTCCAGTTAGAAGTCTTCTGTCACTCAACTTGATGTTCCTTTATGTGTAATGTGTCATTTCTCTCTGGCTGTGGTTTTACTCTGTATTGTTCAGATTGTGTCAATTCTGTTGAATTGTTCTCAAGTTCCCTAATTCTGTCTTTTGCAATCTTCACTCTACTATTGACCCTATCCAGTGATCTTTTTACTATTGTATTTTTCAGTTTTATAATTTTTGTTTGTTTCCAAACAATTTGTAACTAAGTATTGAAACATTTTTATGTCTGCTCCTTAAAATGCTCGTCCTAAATCCCAATATCTGAGTCAATCTTAGTTTTGGTGTCAGTTGATTATCTTCTCTAATTCTCCTTGTGAGTGTTCTGGTTTTTGGAATGATGCATGGTTCCCAATTGTGTCCTGAACATTTTAGCCATTATGTTAGGAAAATGGGGGTCCTGTTTATATCTTTTATTTTAGCTGGTGGTCATCCTGTGTAGATAAGCACATAAATTCTGGTCTACATCTGTGGACTGTGGTTCCAATGTCTACGATTTTCAGGAACTTTATGCTGTGGGTTTTGGCCTGCTTGGCTTATGCGGTGCTCCTGGTGTTCTGACTTGTGTCTGCGTAGGCTGCTGAGGGGGGGGTGTATTTCCTCAGAAGGGGCATCTCTCGGTAAGAGAGGGACGTGCCAGCCATGTGGATGAAGGGGCTTTGTTGGCTGGGCAGTGGTTGTGGCTGGCTCCTCTCCCTGTGTGCCTCCTGGCTGCACTGGGGTGTCTGGGCAGGGGAGGAGCCTCAGCAGCACTGTGGCCAAGAGGCCTTCTGAGCTGAGTTCCTCTGGCCGGTGCCCCTGGATGCTGTGGTGTCCTTGGCAGAGGATGGCAGTTTCAGACCATGTGACGCAGTTTCCTGGCCTGGCTGCCCTTGGTGGGAGAGGGGAGTCTCAGGCCCGCAGAGTACAGAGGCTTCCTGAAGCCTCTAACCTCTTGTTGTGGCAGGGTTCCTGTAAGTAACTGGTGCTGCCCAGATTCTCTGGGGTCCCCTGGTAGGGCATGACGCCGCAGGTCCATGCAGAAGGGTGCTGTTCCCCATGGCCACTTGGCGACCTCTCTTGCTCATGGTGGCGTGCACTCTAGTTCCTCCGGGAGACGAACGATCTGCCTGATGTGCCTTCTCTTGCCAGGCAGGGAGTTGGGACCGCCGGGCCTCGGTCCTTCCTTGAGTCGGCTAGGAGTGTGTAAGATGTTCGTCTTGGTGTTCCTCCAGTCCTGGGTCCCAAGTCAGCCCAGTTCTCTTCCTCCCGTCGCCCCTTGGAATCACATTCCAGGGCTCTGCTTTGGCTGGTTGGCTCTTGCTTGGTTTCCATGGTTTGTAGTTGGACCTAGGTGAGAGTTGCAGGGAGAAATGGATCTTGATGGGAAGTTGTGCTTCTATATTATTTTGTGAAGTTTGATTGTATTTTATCATGGTAACAAAGATGTATAGTTTTAAAAGTTAAATGGTGATAAAGGCTTATGGTAATTGGCTGTTATTCTATAGCTAGTTTAGCCTTCTCTTATCCCAGCCTCCTGCCCCAGAGCCGGTTACTCTGGACTCTTCAGCTGTTTCTTCTATTTTTTGTAAATGTCCACTTTCAGTGGCCATATTCCTGACTGACACCACCTAAGACTACTTTTCTTCTGAAGCCTTCCATCATCTCTGCTCCAGCCAGGGTGGAATTAGATGTCCCTGCCAGGCTCCTGTAATGCCTTGTTTCCCCAGGGTACTGGTCAACCTTGACTAAAAGCTTATATCAATAGACTTCACATTCCATGAAGAGTATGGCAATGAGTGTCAGATTTTACTTCCTATACTTGGTCTCCTGAGATGAGTTTGGAAGTGTTCCCTTCTCTTCTACTTTCTGGAAGACAGTGTGTATTCCAGTGAAATCTGGGCCAGGAGATTTATTTTTTGGGTGTTTTACTTTACAAAATCAGTTTTAGTTATTACTGTGACATTCCGATAATATGCTTCATTTGGGGTGAGTTGTGATGGTCTGAGTAGCTTGAGGAGCGGTCTGTGTCGGGTCAGTTGCCACAGCTATGTGTGTGCACACTTGTTCGTGCTATTCCCTTACTGTCCTCTGAGTGTCTGATTCAGATGGTGGTGGTTTGTGACTTCATGCTTATTGATGACTGGTCTTGATCTTTTCAGAGACCACGTTTGGTTTTATTTACTTTCTCTGTGGCTTTCTGTTTTCAATTTCATTAGTTTGTGCTCTTTATTTTTTCCTTCCCTTTGTTTGCTTTAGATTTTTTATTCTCTTCTTGTTCTTTTTTATAGTGGGAGCTTAGATTATTGACTGGAAACTTTTACTCTGTTTTAATGTAAGCATTTACTGCTGTAAGTCCCTCTCGGCGGTGATTTATCTGTCCCACAGATGTTGGTATTTTGATTTCCTTTAAGACTTCCTCTGTGACCCATGGATTATTTAGGAGTGTGTTTGGAAAATTTACTGCTCTCTGTTCCTAATTTCTGGTGTGATTCCTTGTGGTCAAAAATATGTCTTGTGTGATTTCATGCATTTTAAATTTGGAGCAGTTTGTTTTCTGACTGAGGATATGGCCTGTGTTGGAAGAACTCAGGCCCTTGAAAAGAAACCATGTTGTGCTGTTGTTGGGTGAGGCCAATGGTGTGAAGTTCCTCTGTTCCTGCTGGTTTACTGGCTAGTTGTTCTCTGGGTAGTTGAAGTCTCTGCCTGTAGTCATGGCTTTGTTATTTCTCCCGTTAGTTTTATCAGATTTTGCTTCATAGGTCTCATGTGTCCGGTGTGCAATGCACGCACTTGGGATCGCTTTGTGTCCTGATGGACTGACATGCTTGTCATTATGTAACGTCCCTGTTTGTCTC